ACTCCCTCTAGACTATAGAGTTGAAACAAGTGTAGCAGTTTGCAGAAGGCATGGGAATGTAGAACCTGTCCAGTTATTAAATTACTGGGCACCACAAACTTTATGGCTAGGTTGACTGAATAATACATAGTTCATCAACTGAAGCTTGAGCCAAACGGAATGCCACAGTCAGTCTCCTCAAGAGCTAACAATGTCAGGAAATTTTCCACAAAATGTAGATACAGAAGAGAGCATGGTCTTTGTCCAAATTTTAGGCTCCTTCTCTGTTAGCAAGGATCCTAACTTGGCTTCCTAAAAGGTGTAGATTTGGTGATTAATAGGCTAGTTTGGCTTTTGTAACCTCATAGTTCTTGGAGAATGACAGTGGATTATTGGAAACAAAATCAGTAGAGGCTCCAGTTGTGGCTGCCATGGCAGGTTTTTGTTTTTGTTTTTTCCTCCTTGCTAGAATAAATGAATGTATCTGTTACCATTTATTGTGTAACAATAAATGATCAGTTACTGATCTTGTCAAAATATTTTTTATGTATTTTGGTGGGTAGGCACCATCAGCAGTTTGTCCTCATTGACATAAATACCAATAAATCTAGGATACTTCCAGAGTTAGCAAGTCCATTCAGTATCTCAATCTGCTAGAGAAAGTTCAAGCACCATGAGAACTTCCAGGTCACATGGACCAGTTGACAGTTACTTGCTGTAATACCCTGAACCTAAGTTTTCCTTCACTATGGACCCTAATCATGGAAGGCTAAAATTTAGATCATCTTGTTAATGGTCAGAGTAAGACATAAAAAGATGCTGCATCAAAATTTAGGATACTCATTTTGAAAGGAGTGGCCTGGAATGCCACAGATCTTCAAACATTCAGTCCCTTTACTTTCATATCAGAGCTCTTTTAGTCTTATACACTTTCACAGTCGCATATATTACTTCCATCATCCAGGAGCATTTCTACTTTCTGATCTTCATGGCTTATCAGCATGAAGTTTTCTGTATATTGTATTAAAATGGTACCTTGATCAAAGACCCAGCAAACTACACTGTAGCACACAGCCAGAAAGCTTGTGTATCCCTAAGGCAGGACAATAAGGATTTATTGGTGTTTATGTCTCTCAATGAAGACAAACTGCTCATGGTGCCTATCCCCCAAAATACATTAAAAAATATTTTGACAAGATCAGTAACTACACAGTAATTATTAACAGAAACATTCATTTATTCTAGCAAGGAGGAATAAAAAAAAAAATGCCATGGCAGCCACAACTGGAGCATCTACTGATTTTGTTTCCAATAATCCACTGTCATTCTCCAAGAACTCTGAGGTTACAAATGCCAAACCAGTCTATTAATCACCAAATCTACACCTTTCAGGAAGCAGCTTCCATGGCTGTAGGGCTCCTGTTCACTCCTTAGTTTGGCTAGGAAAGAGAGTACCTAATGGCCTGTCATAAAATAACAGCCATGTCTTTATAGGGGGAAGAAAGAAATTGTGGGGTCTGCCAGTCTCCTAAAATATCCATTCCCACAACTCACTCAGGATCTGAGAAAAGCAGCCCAGGATAGTTAGGGGAGTCCCACTCGACCAACCATGAAATAAATTCAGATCAGAATACCATTTATCACCTGGACTACACAATGAACCCTGACTCTATCCAGCTGACTACAGTGGAATTACGTCTCCAGGAATTTGAGCCAATATCTAATATTTCCCAAGTTAAAGTATTTCCCCTTTCCACAGTATACAAGTATGCAGGTTAAATGACTGCCAGCCCCATTAGGAAAGACAAGGCAGAAAGTTGAATGTGAGGCCTGTGTAGTGTTACAGCAGTATCTTTCCTCTTAGGTACCAGCCTTCCCTTTCATTGGGTGATGCTGAGTCTGTGAACGCAAATTCTCTAGCACGTTGGTTCCAGTGAGGCCTCTGTTCACAGACTTAGAATAGCTTTGTTTAAATAAATCAACACACACCTTAATTGGCTGTCTGTCTATTTCATTCCTGGGGACCCTATGATTAATTAACCACAGTCAGAGATTTCTGCTACTGAAGCCATTCCCTGATCCCTGAGTGTAGCATCTGGCTATTAAAACAATACCCACTTTGCTTCAGACTGTTAACAGTCATCACCTGGGCTAGGCCTCATCTGGCTTCTCATATCCCCTGTGAGATCAGGAATACCATTTTTATTATAGCTCCTTCCACAAACATTCCCAAACCAGGAAAAAAAAAAGTCAGTAAAGCAATTTTAAATGCTTCGGGTATTTCCTTTTTCGCTGTATTTTTATTGGCAAGGGAGAGGAGTCTTTAGGATCCTGTCAGGATATAGGGGTGAGAGACATGATCCATTTAATCTACTTTCTTGTCTCCCCAAATCTTTAAATTATTTCCTCTATGTTGTGCCAAGGACTTTCCAGCTGTTTATTTTACCAATAGAGACCAATTTGCTTTAGCAAACCCAGAAAAACTGTAAACACTACAGTTAACTGCTTGAGCTACCACACTGAATGCAGTATGTCTTATGAATAATCTTGTGTTCAGGAAAAAAAAAAAGAAAAGACTTAGATTTTCTATAGTGGCTACACATTAAAAGAAAATGATATGAAGAGTTTTTAAAGATATGAGGCTTATCACCGCCCCCCCCCCCCCCCCACTACCTGAGATTTAACTCAGAATCTCTGGGGTTAGACCAAGCATCTCTATCATCTCAAAACTGTCCCAGTGGTTTTGGTCCACAGTGAGATTCAAGGACCACTGCTGTAGAAGTTCTCATTCACTCCCAAGGTTCCTAATATCACCTATATGCTAATGATGTACATTTATAAAATCCAAGACCAACCATCTAAGCTTCAGCCCACTTGACACAATATTTCTCTCTTTGTCTCTTTCCCCATTTGTTGAAGGATCTGGAAATTTACACAATATAAAGGGGATTATCAAATACTAGGGGCTTCCCAGGTGGCACTAGTGGTAAAGAACCTATCTGCCAAGGCAGGAGACATAAGAGACGTGGGTTCAATCCCTTGGTCAAGAAGATCCCCTGGAGGAAGGCATGGCAACCCACTCCAGCATTCTTGCCTGGAGAATACTTATGGACAGAGGAGCCTGATGGGCTACTGTCCAAAGTGTCACAGAGAGACATGACTGAAGCGACTTAGCACACATCAAATATTAGAGCTTACCATATGCCAGGCCAAAGTAAACGGAGCAACCCTGGTCTCCACATTCCTTGTGTAGACATTTGATGGCCTCTCATGGGGTTTCTTAACTTCAGCAATATTGGCATTTTGAGCTGAATCATTCTTTATTGTGGGTGACTGTCTTGTGATTGGTCATTCATTAGCCTCTACCTACTAGATTTCAGTAGTGTTGTACACCTTCCCAGAAGACAACCAAAAATGTTTCCAGGTATTGCCAAATGTCACCTGTGGGTCAAAAATTGCTCTTGGTTGAAAACAATTGGCCTATGGGCATCTCTATATAAAAGCTCCACAAGAACTTACATCTTAACCTGTTATATACTAAATATACAGATTTTCTCTTTATTGTGCCTAGTCTTAGATATTTGTACCATTATCAAGACCTTAGGCCGCCCAGGTGGCACTAGTGGTAAAGAACCTGCCTGCCAGTGCAGGAGACAAGAGATGTGGTTTGATCCCTGGGTTCAGAAGACCCCTTGGAGGAGGGCATGGCAACCCACTCCAGTATCTTTGCCTAAAGAATCCCATGGACAGAGCAGCCTGCAGACTACAGTCCATGGGGTTGCAAAGAGTCAGACATGACTGAAGTGACTTAACAAGCACGCACTTCAAGACTTTACCAATTCAGTAATCTCTTTTTTCCAGGACCATTGCATACTCATACACAATTGGTTTATTCAAATTACCATTCAAACAAAGTTTCAAATTGTTCTTAACTGTTGTTTCTAAGTCTCTTTTTAAAATTGAACCATCATTTCCCCTCTTGCCTTTCTTCTCCCCAAACCTTTGTCTGGGTGAAGAAACTGGTTTGGTTGGCTTTGGGGACTTCCCTGGTGGCTCAGAAAGTAAGGAATCTGTCTGCAATGCAGGAGACCTGATTTCAATCCCTGAGTCAGGAAGATCCCCTGGAGAAGGGAATGGCTATCCACTCCAGTATTCTTGCCTGGAGAATTCCACGGACAGAGGAGCCTGGCAGGCTACAGTCCACGAGGTTGCAAAGAGTTGGACACGGCTAAGCAATTAACACTTTCATTCGTACTTGGCCTTCTGAATTTGCCTGATCTTTTCCTTCTGATCTCACTCAACTTGTTTCTCTATCCTTTTTTGACCAGTAAACTGGAAGTTACATCCAAAAGCTTGGTTAGATTTGTAGCCAACACTTTTGGTGCTGTACCTCAGTCACTGCAGTCATTGCAGTACCTCAGTCAACACATAATGTATGGACATATGGCTTTTAGCTAAAGAGGTGTCGGGTGGTGGTGACTTGATTCCACCATTATAGAGTTGAGACCTTAACCACTGCACCACCAGGGAAGCCCCTGGAGGTCCATTTTTGACATAACAATTTGAGATGACAATTAGACATCTAAAGTGGACATATCATGTGGTCGTTAGGTAGGCAAGTCTGAAGTCTGTGGTGAGAAGGATAAGTTTACAAGCCGTCAGTATATGGAAAGACATTAACGTTCATAGACTAGATGGGAATCACTAAAGGGAGAGAGCATATGGAGAAGAGGGTCCAGGAGTGAGCAATGAACTACCCCAACTATTATAACTGGATGATGAGAAGGAGTTAAAAGATTTCCAAGAAGCAGAATCTACCTCATTAAAAATCAGTTCTCATAAATTTTTCCTCATCTCCTTCCCTGTACTATGGTAATCATCTCCTACATGATCTTATTGCCTCTACTTCTGCGTCTTCTAATTCATGTTCCACAGAGCTCTCTGATAAATGTTTCTAAAAGTGAAGTTTATTAGATTAGTTGTCAGACTAAAAGCTTTTAATAGCTCTGCTTTGTTTTTAGGATAAAGCCCAAATGCCTACTCATGTGTTTCTTTCCTACCTGCTCAGCCTTACATCTTGCCAATCCCCATCCCTTACCTGTAAGTATCTCATGGCAGTTTCTCAGATATTCTAAGCTGTTTGTTTCTGTAACTTGTATTCAGCTTCTTTGCGGGATAATTTATTTCACTTGGTGGACACATAACTCACAGATCATGTGCATGAGTGCATGCTCAGTTGCTCAATTGTGTCAAACTCTTGCTATCCCATGGGCTGTAGCCCACCAGACTCTTCATCCATGAATTTCCCAGGTAAGAATACTGGAGTGGGTTGCCATCTTTCCAACCCAGGTATTGAACCCTCATCCCTTTCATCTCCTGCATTGGCAGGTGGATTCTGGAAGCCCTAACATTCATAGTTTAGGACTGATCTAAAAGTAACTCACTTAAGCCTTTACTGACACTAATGACGTGGAATTAACCATTATTCTGCCCCTACTGAAGTGTGTGTGTGTCTCAAAATGTGATCTTAATGCACTGCTCCACAAACTGAGCACAAATATAATCACTTATTTTATTTCCAATGAATTACCTAAAGTAGGTAATTCTCTGGTAGCTCAGACATTAAAGAATCTGCCTGCTGTGTGGGAGACCTGGTTTCAATCCCTGAGTTGGGAAGATCCCCTGGAGGAGGGCACGGCAACCCACTCCAGTCTTCTTGCCTGGAGAATCCCCATGGACAGAGGAGCCTGGTGAACTTCCCCTGGAGTCCATGGGGTCACAAAGAGTCAGACACGACTGAGCGACTAAGCACCAAGTAGACCTTCAATGCCATATTAGGGGGAAAAAAGCATTTCCCACTCTATTCCTCCCTCAAATTTTCCAAAGTTCTACAGGTTTACATAATCTAAAAAGAACAATCAGAAGGACAGTCACTGTGTGATAATCAATAGAGCTGTTGAAAAAATCCTGATTCTGCTTCCATACATGTAGTGAGCATATACTTTGCTGCTCCCTTGAAGAAAGAGGTGTCCATGTTATTTGCTTTGGCCAATGAAATGTGAAATGATGTGGTTCACTCCTTGCAGGAGACTTTAAGTTCTGATATCTGTCTTTACCTTCCCTCTGCTGCAGTGACTGTGCAAGCACATGCTGAAATAGTCTTCATCAGCCTGGGTCCCTGCTGTGATAAGCATTTCAACCTGCGTTGCAATGTAGCATGAGCAAGGAATAAGCTTTTTTTTTTTTTTTATTTAGCCACAGATGTTTTGGAAGTCTTTGTTCCAGGGAATAATATAGCAAATTCAGTGACATGTACACTAAGCAGGAAGAGTCTGAAAATTCTACTAAATAAGGCATTAAAAAAGCATTTAATGCCTCCTGAAATTGTCCTAAGGGAATACATTACAGGAAGAAATAGTTATTCAAAAATATCAACTTGAGCCATGACTTGCTTTCTCTCTCTGTCCCAGCTTCCTTAGCTCAGTATGATGGTATCTCCAGTTTGGATGGTATTACTATTGCAGAAACCAGTACTCAAGAAACCAAGCACCATACTCGAAGAGTTGGAGAACTCAGGTTTATTTCGCCAGTGGGCCCAGAGCAGTTAACACTTCAAGCTCTGAGCCCTGAACAAAAGGGTTAGAATTTTTATACACAGACAGGCATGATTAAGTGGGTTTGTGGGTTTGCAGGAGCTGGGGGATTGCAAAGAGCAGTACAAGAGTGAGTGAGATAAACTCCAATTCCTAGTATTGTGAGTCCCCACTTTCTGAGACCTACGTGATCCAGACTTTGCAAGGAGCAAGCTGAGTTACAGAGGCAGAAGGAGCAGGAGGTTATGTAAAATTTTAACTTTGCCTCTTCATTACCAGGAAGACAGGGCTCCTTTCCCCCTCAGCTCACAGTCAAGGGATACAATATCTCACAGAGAGGTAGGCCACCACTTATTTCCTCTGGCTTTGAGTTGCAGAGGCTAAATTCTGGCAAGTGTAGCCAAGAAGATACAAGCTCCCTTCTCCCACCCAGCCCCACTCGTGGAGGTTGTACCCTAGGCTCAGCATGGCCCAGAATACAGGGGCTTCCGATCACCTTCACCCCAGCTTGCTTGTGGTGTGGCAGTCCCATGCTGGGAACCAGAAAATGGGGGGAAAAAGATATACAAATGACGAATTAGCACATGATAAGATGCTCAATATTATTAGCCATAGGGAAAATGCAAATAAACCACAATGAGATACCACTTTACACCCACTAGGAGGACTATAGTGAAATAGGAATATAATAACACTTGTTGGGGAGAATGTGGAGAAATTGGAACTCTTATACACTGCTGGTGAGAATGCAAAATGGTGTATTTTAGGAAAGAGGCTGGTAATTTTTTCAAAGGCTAAGAATCTCTAAAATTACCATGAAGTGAAGTGAAGTCGCTCAGTTGTGTCCGACCCTTTGTGACCCCATGGACTGTAGCCTACCAGGATCCTCAGTCCATGGGATTTTCCAGGCAAGAATACTGGAGTGGATTGCCATTTCCTTCTCCAGGGGATCTTCCCGACCCAGGGATCGAATCCAGGTCTCCTGCATTATAGGCAGATGCTTTACCGTCTGAGCTACCAGGGAAGAATATGACTCAGCAATTCCACTTGTCTATACACCTGAGAGAAATGAGAACATATATCGATATATAATGTGATACATGAATGTTCATAGTAGCACTATGTTTAATAGTCAAAATATGGAGACAACCCAGGTGCCCATCAACTGATCATTGGGTAAATAAACAAAATGAGGCATATCCATACAATGGAGTAATACTCAGCCATAATTGAAGTACTGATAGATGCTACATTGTGGATAAATCTTGAAAATTAGGTTTAATGAAAGGAGCGAGGTACAAAGGACCACATATTGTACAATTCCATCAGTATGAAATATCCAGAACAGGTAAATAGACAGCGGCAGAAAGCGAATTTGTGGTTGCCTAGGACTGGGGTTGGGAGTGGCTTCCCTGGTGCCTCAGACAGTAAAGAGTCCACCTGAAATGCGGGAGACCTGGGTTCAATTACTGGGTGGGAAAGATCCCCAAGTCGGCATGGCAGCCGACTCCAGTATTCTTACCTGGAGAATCCCCATGGAAAGAGGAGCCTGGTGGGCTACAGTACATGGGGTCGTTAAGAGTCAGACACGAGTGAGAAACAGACACACACACAGCCAATGGATACAGAATAGCACAATTTAAATTGGTGAGTTATGAATGAATTATACCTCAATAAAGCTGTTTATGGAATTTAGAAATATTCATCACAACCTAAAAGTTGATAGTAATGTTTTATTCAGTGGGAAGTTTTAGGACTTCATGTAACCCTGAGAGAACTGCTCTGAGGAGGCAAGAGGAGGAGCCAGGTTACACAGAAGTTTTGCAACAAAGGGCAGGCAGTCCGAACATCAAAAGATTATTGTTAAGTAAAGAAAACCAGATATCTCAAGTTAAGGAATTTAGCACTTTACTATGCATGGGCTTACTGAAATCATTCTTTTGATATGCACCTCAGCTGTCTGGGGCTGATTTCCTGTTTTCACATCCTGAATTTCCTCAGGACTCACCAGCTCACCATTTGTGATGGCTGCAATTGCTGATAACTGTGACATCATTTGTTTACTGATATGTCAGGAGAGACCTGGGTTCAATCCCTGGGTTGGGAAGATCCCCTGGAGGAGGGTATGGCAACCCACCCTAGTATTCTTGCCTGGAGAGTCCCCGTGGACAGAGGAGCCTTGCTGGCTACAGTCCATAGGCTTGCAGAGTGGGACATGACTGAGCAACTAAGGACAGCACACAGCATTCCATTTCTTATGTTATAAATTATAATCAGTATTATAGCATCTTCCCATACTAGATAGTAAATCTTTGAGAGGAGGAGCCATGTCTCATTCATTTATCTTCTTCATTTATCAGAAAGGCCTAGTATGAGTGTGAAGAGTATACTTTTGGTATTAGGACAACCTGAGTTTTGTAGGCTTAATAAAATTATTTCAGTTCCCAAAGCATCAGTTTCCTCAGCTGCATAATGGAAATGATAGAACTAACATTGTAAAATTTTCACAGGGGTCCACTGAGATAACTCATGAAAAGCATTTAGTCCAGTGCCTGGCACATAGTGGGTTCTTAAGAAATGTTATGTTTCACTTATAGCAGATCCTTGAGACACATATTTTGAAAGGACAAAAGAAGGTAAAATAATGTACGCATGGGCAATGGGATTTGGGGGATGAGAGCTTGGGAAAATCTGAATATGTTGATGGTGTTGAATTTCACACTGCCAGGAAGACAAGTTGGGAAATATAACAAAAAAATTCCGAGAAGCAGTATTATAGCAATTATAAATAAAAATCTTTTAGAGAAGTGGCAATATATGCAATGAAGCAAACTAGAAGGAAACATGAATTATAACTGCTGTCTGGAATCAAGAAGTCATTTCTCTCCACGTCTCAGTTTATAAAGCTATAATATGTGGATAGTAATCCTTTTCCCAGCTACCTCACAGAATTACCGGGAAGCCCCACTGAGATAGCAGATATGAATGGGTTTTGAAAACAGTGCAAATGAAAGTAATCTCCTTTATTAAATTATTAGTTCTTTACAATGGTAGCAGCAATCCTGCATACATAATTATTCAGATATTAATTGGTGATGGCCACAGGTTGGGTTCCCCACGAAGCAGATGATGAGGGGAAAATTTCTTAGGAGGAAGTTTATTAGAGAGTTGTCCGGGGATCAGCACTTACAGGGAATGGAAGGAAGGAGGACTGGGTGGAGGGAGACAGGTTTGCATGCTCAGTCATGTCCAACTCTTTGTGACCCCAGGGACAATAGTCTGCCAGGCTCCTCTTCCCATGGGTCTCATCAGGCAATAATATTGGACTGGGTTGCCATTTTCTCCTGCAGAGGATCTTCCAGAACCAGAGACCGAACATGCATCTCCTGTTGTCTCCTGCATTGCTGGTGGATTCTTTATCACTTGAGTCACCTGGGAAATCACCTGGAGGGGGAAATGGGAATGTAATTCAGACACAAAGAGTCCTCAACTGATGACAGGAGGAGC